CGAGAACAGAATAGAATAGAACGTTCATCAAAAACGCACAGTACAGAATAGAATAGAGCCATTTTGGAGCAAAATAGAACAGTTTTCGAAAAGATGCTATAGAGACATCACTAGTTATGTAATATTTTGAAATTGGTGTATACAAATCGCCGTCAAAGTCAAAACGAATGTCTAACCGAGATTCAGTTGTTTTTAAAGTTGAATATAATCAATCGTCAGACAAAGAAAACGACTGAATCTGACAGATTAAGCCATCAAAGCATGTGAGGGGCGCTTCTGAAGCAACACTAGCTTAAAAAACAAACTGTTATTGTGAGGGTTTCAACGAAGGTTCAGTTCAGATTGAATCTTCAAAACTTTATTCACATGCATAAAATGAGTAAGTTTATCGCAAACAACACAGATATTTACTCATAAGTAATGACAATACAGTATCATTAACGTGTCAAAGTAACCAGTAAACAATGATCGGTCCCAATTGTATTCTTGTATTGACTAAACGTATCCATAGTTATTATGCATAACATTTTGCTGTGCTACAAATTGAATAGCGTTCGCAATTCAGCATTCATCAATACATTCATATGACCGATTAGTGGACTGATCATAGATCAAAATGTTTCACAATTCCTACAGACAATTACGAACATAACATCAAACAGCAATGAAATGAAAAACACTCGACGATTTCGCTATCAAAAAGGGTCCTCAAACAACTCTTCGGGTTTCTTATTCTCAGCGTTCGAAGCTGTATTCTCCATTTCACTTTGTTTCTCCTGAAAATACGCTTTTGAAACATTCGAATTGCTAATTAAACGAACTGATTTGCTAATTAAATGTGAAACACTCTTTGAAGTTTAGTATTTGGTTGAGTACTCCGTCTATACGTAGTTTTACGCCCTCATTTCAGCATCTTGAATTGTTTCGGCTCTCCAAACTGATAATTCTCTACATTAAAGTTGCCCTCACACACTGGTTCAGGTGAGGAATTATTTCAGCTGAACCATTGTGAGGTGACTCTAGACTTCAGTGTATGCGCGAACTTCAACGAACTTAGTGAACAGGAGCCTTCAGAGGGTTTTTTCTCGACATTAATTGTTTTCATCAAGAACATCAGCATCACCATTACTGAGACGAAGTGATCAAATGATCAACTGATCAAGCAAATGATCGATGAAAACATTTTTTGCAACCAAACAAAGCAAAAAAACTTGTTACTAACTTGAATTTTCTTCCGTTTTCGGACATCATCCTCGATGTGTTGATGAGGTGCGAGTGTTTTTTGACTTAAGACATTCGATTGCTTGTTTGATTCGTGCTCGAATGAATCGGTCAGTTGTGCAATCAAAATATTGAAGAACCTGCGCCATACATCCGAGATCATCGAGTGCGTGTAAGTGGATGCAAATCGCACCTTTTTCTTTTCGTCCACATTCGGGTCCTCCTCAAATTCGTGCACAATTCAATGCATCTCTTCCATTGATCATGCTCTCATACCAACAATTTTGTTTCGTCCTATTAATATTGCACTAATAATATTGTTCTGCTTTAATCAACGTTTCATTAACGTATTGCTGACTGATATTATTCTTATATTGTTATCATAGTGATTGTTATCATTAT